AAAAAAAAAAAAAAAAAAATTGTAAAAACGAAAATTAAAATTGAAAACGACAAAAAGTTGCGACCGCATCCGGAACAGGCCGCGACTGTTGGCCCCGTCTCTGGGTGCTGCTGCTGCTGCTGCTGCTGTCGTTTGTCCTTTGTCGCATGCAATAAGTGCTAGTTGAGTGGCGGCACTTGAAAGCAGAGCCACACCAAGTACACACACACACACACACATACACTGACTGCTGGTTATTCAATTGGCCAGCTGCATGTGTTTCTGGCGGCGCTTCGGATTACAGTTTTTGGCCCCCGTTGGTGTCGGTGTCGTTTGTTGGTCTGGCGACCTGACGCCGCCATTTCCGTTTCAGCCAGCACGGAAGTGGCAACGAGCTGCCCCTTCTCTCGCCATCAGCCCCTCCTTCACTCCTGCGCCACATCGTCACTCCACCATTCCTTCACCCTTCTCAGTCATCCAACTGTTGGCGTTTCGTGCGGATTTGCTGCGGCCATTGCATACCAAATGTGTTGCATACATTTGAGCGCTTTGCAGTAGGAAAATCGACGCGAGTGAATGAAGTAAAAAACCAAAAGAAAAAAAAAGCTCGCTTAGAGGCCGAGCGCCATGGCAATCAAAATGGAAATGGGAAAACGACAGCCAAACACATATAGCCCAGCAATATTTTATTGTTGTTGTTGTATAATAAAAATAAATACAACACCAACTACTATGATCCACATCAGTTCGCGTCGATTCTATTTAAAAGCCCAAAACGGAAAAGAGTAAGAGCAAATTGAAACAGTGGAAAGAACACGTAGCATTATTAAAGAGTTGAGTAATTAGCAAGTAAGAAGAAGTAATTAAAGATCATAGTTCAATCATAAGTATTAGAATAGCTATGCAGATTTAAGGGTGAGCGCCGTTCAAACTTATAGAACAATTGATGTATGTATTTGAAATAACATATTTGAATAAAAGATGGATCCGTTGAATACAGATAACGCTGTATGTAATATCAAAATACATTTTGAACTCTATTATCGTTTTATGAAGTTGGGGTTTAGAAGATAAACGTGTTTTAGTCAGTGCATTTGAACATGGAATTGCTGCGATGCGATTAGTTAGTCAAATATGGCTGAATATAATAACTATTTCCCAATCATCATATAGTTGAATTCTTTATTTTATT